TACTTTTTTGATGTTAACGTGCTTTTATGAAAGAACGGTTTCGGTGGCTGGGTGAGTATACCTATCCAGGTGACTCTTGAACAGCATGGGTTTGAAGTGGGCGTTTCCACTAATACATACAGATTTTTTTTTTCAATTAATACAGTACTGTGAATATACTTTCTCTTCCTTATGATTTTTAAATAAAAAGATTTTACTTAGACAAAGAGCACACGCACGCACATGGGAGCGGGGGGGAAGGGCAGAATGAGAGAGAGAACCTCAAGCAGACTCTGCACTGAGCACCGAGCTGGACCCTGAGATCATGATCTGAGCTGAGATCGAGTCGGATGCTTAACCGACTGAGCCACCTGGCACCCCTCTCTTCCTTATGATTTTAATAACATTTTCTCTAGCTTACTTTATCCTAAGAACACATTCTATAATACGTGTAACACACAAAATACGTGTTCACTGTTATTGTAAGGCTTCTGGTCAACAGTAGGCTAACAGTAAAGTTTTGGGGAGTAAAAAGTTGTATGTGGATTTTCAACCCCTAATCTCTGTGTCGTTCAAGGGTCAACTGTATATGCAAAATCAAGCGTTGGCGGCTTTATGTCGGCAGCCCTCTGCATTCCACGGTGGGTTTTTTTCCTAATTTTAATTTTACAGAATTCCAAACACAAGAATTCTGGAACCCGATGCTCTGTGGCGTAGGAGTTCAGAGGAGGGAAATAATTTCCAGCCAGGAAGAATGAAGGACGACCTTCTAGAGGAGGTGACATTTGAATGGGGCCGTGAAGGGTGGGTGAAATGTCCACCTATGCAAAAAGAGAAAGCAGTGCATGAGCGAACATGTCGAGGTGAGAGTTTAACACCAAGCAAAAATACCGTAAATATTTAACTATGTACTGTGGGAAAGGCGCCCTGAAAGGCACTGGATTGCCAGAGCGCTACTGCATTCGGGAGGGCGAGGGTTCTAGACTGGTGGTCAAACAAATTCTGTAAGCGGGGCTGTCGAGTCACTCTGCCATTCCTGCTGCTTTTCCCCCCGGACTGCTCACTCGAAGAGAGCCGTTGGGAAATGTCTCCCTGGGAAGGACGTGGACCACAGCATACCACTGCCATCACTTAGGGTCCAGGAGACAGAGCCTTGAGCACGCGGGCCTGGCTGGAGTGGGGCTGGCATGGCCAACTCACAGCCCGCAGCACCCCTGAGGCCAAAGGAGAGGACAGAGCAGAGCCTCCTAGCAAGATCCTTCCCGGAGGTAAATCCTTTCTGTTCGGGGGTTTTTTCCCCAAGGGCTCAGGCATCCAATTCCACATTCATCCTCTTCCTCTGGCTTATCTTTTCATGACTTTGGAGAGCAGTCTTCCTTATCTAGGAAAACAAATGGGCTCCACAGAGAGCTCAAAACAGCGAAGTCATTTATCTGTCTGACATGTTTCCCTGTTTGTTTTCTCCAGCCTTGAGACAAGAGTTGTGTCAACTGTGGATGGCTGTGCCCCAGTCACTTGAGAGGCATGAATCAATTTCCAGCTGCATTTATCACTTGCTGCCTTAAATCAAGTCTAATCAATGCTTCCTTCATTTGGTATGGATTGCAACTATATATAATGCGCTTGGAGAACGGCCGGGAAAGAGAGCAGATCACAAACAGGAATGCTGTCGGGGATTCAGACGGAATGATGTTAAGGAAACATTTGCAGTTTTTGACTCACTTTAATGGAGATGCCTGACCAAACAGATTTGTTTATGAAGTTTCACTTCAATCCATCTGACGTGCAGCATCACTACACCACCGATCAGTTGATTCGAAGGGACTTTTGCATATTCAAGTATTTTGTAATACGTTATGAAGATTCGGTATACTTTTGAGTAAGGTTTAATTCCTACATTGTCTTTAAAAACTCATTTCTATTTCCTTTTAGAGGTATCTTTGTCACCACTGACTACAGAGGGCAATTTCTAGTTATAATAAAAATCTCTTTGTAACAAAATAGATATCCAGGGGCCCCTCTGATAAAAACAATTTTTTATGAAGTCTTACAGCGGAGAAAACTTGACCCTCTCTCTCCTTCCTGAAGTTCTTCGTCATAGAATTTGATACCTACAACCAAAGTGGATTTTCCACCAGCAGGTGTGAAAACAGCCCCCCAGCTGTTCAACCAACTCAGAAAGTGGTAGGGAGCAGCCCTGTCTCATTTGTAAATTAATCTTGTGCCAGTGACAGATGATAGGGGCAGAGTTACTAGCACCTAAAACATCATGCCCACGGCAAGGCCCTGGATTATTCTTCAAGGATAATGGGAGAGGAGAGACAGAACGCAGAAAAACAGGTCAACGATAATGCAAACCCAGAAGATGAGGCCGTGCTGTGATTCATTGGCATAATTAATATTTCTCTCTCATCTGCTGAACTGTGTAGACTTTTACCACGGGCATGCATCTGGAGCGATTAACAAGGCTGACTCATTTTCACAGTGCCGGCCCCCCCAGTGACCTGTTGGCAGGTAGCTGAACAGAGCCCTGTTCAGCTCTGGGAAGTCAGAGAAGAGTAATAAACCCTCATACTGGTTTAATACTGTACAGTTCATCAAGAGTTTTGAACATACAGTCTCATCACCCTTTAAGATAAGCAGGAAAATAGCTCTATTCCCAGATACAAAAGGAAGGAGGTGGTTCGGAGGTGGGTGTACCCCCCTGTGGGCTGGCCATCCTTGAGCTCTAGCTCTGGAACTCACCTCTTCACCTCATCAACCCCAAAGTCTTAGTTGCTTCCACTGAGCTCCCACCAGTGGCTGAGGTCCTCTCCTGCTCTTTCCCCAACATATTTGTTTCTCCCATCACCCAGGGTTCTTGGGAAACTCATATGGTTACAGGAGATCCCTAGAGTTGCATGGCAGGTTGTCAAGTTAAAAAAAAAAAAAAATCAAATAAAAGGCAGCACCTTTGGACTTGTTTTGGGTTACAGAGGTGGTGTAGTGTTCTTAACTCATCTTAAACAAAGACAGGGTAATGTGATATCACAAAGCTTTAACCCTCTGTGAACATAGGTATAGGTAAAAGAAACATGGCAGACACAGAGTCGAAAATTAAGGCGCCCACTCGTATCCTCTTTGATACTCAGGAGAGTTGTTTAATGAGCTCCTCTGCTCTGAGGATGTCCGGGAAGGATGTTTGCTCATTCGTTGAGAAAGAAAGTAACAGGTTTTTCTACCCATGGCAAACTTCACAGAAGTAGATCCTGTGTAGATAACTAAGTAAGGACAGAGTTGGTAGAAGGAAGAATTTCCATGGCTTTAAAATTTTAGACAAAAGTGCCTCTGCTCAACTTGACGTTAGTAGAAGTGAACGAGGGGAGTAACAGTGCATTTTCAAACTGGCTTCAGGTAATGTGCCACCGAGAAGAAATGCATTTTCAATGGTCATAGGGATTTTGAAGCTCTCCAGGGAGCCCGAGGAAAGTCTTGAACACATTCCGACAAAGCTGCTAGAGTGTTTAGGAGTTAACATGCGTGTCAAATGGCACAGTCACCCCAACTATCCTGTTAATACAAACTGAAATTTATATTGGAAATACAAATACTCGCAACCTATATAAACCTAGAGTGAAAAGGAGCAGACCCTTTCTTGAAATAAAAATGCTACTGAGATTAATACAGATCAGATTTCATTTCATTTCCTCCCTAGAGCAAATTGATTTATTTCATTTGTTCATTCATTCAGCAAATATTTATGGAGCTCTGAGAATATGGGCACTGATGATTCAGTGGTAACCAGACACGACACAGAACCCGCTCCCTGGGAGCTTACACTCAAGTGGGAAAATTCACATTGAAAACATTAATGGAGACTTATACTTCCAATCAAGATGGAGTAATAAACACCAGATTTACTCTCCCACCCAACATAACCAAAAAAGAAAAACAGGAATAGTACATGTAACAATCGTTTTCAAGACACTGGATGTCAGGCAATGAGAGACAGTGATCCTGAGGGATGAGAAACCAACACAGTGAGCTGCGTTATCGAGCTGACACTGTCCAGGCTGCACGAGCAGGGAACTCCAGTGGACTCCCGAGGTGAGAAGATAGAGCTGAGGACGAGCAGAGACCGAGGCAGCCGGCATTTGCAGGACAGAGGACCAGAGAAGAGAGAGCTGCAGAGAAGGACGGATATCTGGAGAGGGCCCCTCTAATACTCACAAGAGTACTTATTGCTGAGACCGTGTCATCCTGGGAAAGCACCGTCTGAAAGCATTAGAGGCAACAGTGCTCAGCATTCACCCAGGTGCCTATTTCCATCACCCAGACTGGAAAATCTGTAGTTCCAGGGGCATGGGAAAATCTTTCCTTCGTACCAGGCAACAGTTCATCCTAGACTGAACACTGTTCCAGACCTGCCTAACAAATTACACAAGCAAGACGTGCAAAGATCAAACTATTTTCGAGTAACTTAACTGCATCCCCAAACAAAGCTGAAGAAGATACGGCTACATATTCAGCAAGGTGAAATCTACAATGTGTGGCACCCAATTGAAGGTTACAAGGTGTGCAAAGATGACTCATAACGAGGATCTGTATCCAGAATTTATAAAGAACTCTCAAAAGTCAAAAATAAGAAAACAAGCAACCCAGCTTTAAAAAAAAAAAAAAGGGCAAGCGATTTGAACAGACACTTCACCAAAGATTTGTGGATGACAAATAAGCATCTGAAAAGAGGCTCACCATCAGAAGTCTTAAAAAAATGAAAATTAAAACCACTGTGAGATACCATCTCACTCCTATTAAAATGATAAAAATGGTAAAAACAGATCACACTCAGTGATGACAAGAATGTGCAGGACCTGGAAGTCTACTTTACCGGTGGAAACGTGAACTGGTACTGCCATGTTGGGACACAGTCCGTTAAACATACAACTACCATACGGGCTCAGCCATTCCACCACTGGATATTTACCAAAGAGAAATGCACGCATATGTCCGCACAAAGACTTGTACACAAATGTTCGTAACGGCTTTATTTGTAACAGCCAAAAGCTGGAAACAACCCAAATGTCCATCAGTAGGTGAATGGAAAAATCTATCCAATGAAATACTACTCAGATACAGGAAAAAACAAAAACGTTTTTAAAAAATGCCTCTTGAATACATGCTACGTCGACAAATCTAAAAATAATTATAGTGAGTGAAATAAGCCTAATTTTTACAAAGAGTACATATTACTATAATTCAATTTACATTAAATCCTAAGAGATGCAAACTAATGTTCAGTGTCAGAGCAAATCAGTGCTTGCTGGGGAATGGAGGGGTGGGTGGTACGAGGGGGTAAGGGAGAGGGGTAACAAAGGGGGACGAGGACACTTGGGAATGATGGGTAAGAAGAGAATCTTGGCTGCAGTGATGATTTCATTTCGTGCATATATATGTCAACACTAACCACAGTGTACATTTTAAATACGTGCAGTTTATTGTATGTCAAGTATCCCTTGGTGAGGCTACTAAAAATATTAATGGGGGCGCCTGGCTGGCTGATAGAGCTTGTGACTTTTGATCTCAGCGTTGTGAGTTCGAGCCCCATATTGGGTTGTAGAGGTTACTTAAAAATAAAATCTTGAAGAAAACCATATGAATGGGCTCTACATTCTAGAGATTCTGGCCGAACTGTTAGTTCATCTTCAATATTAATTATACTTTGGCAAAAATACTTTAAAACTTTAAAGTTGTACCAAGGAAACCAACAGGTATCAATATCAGCTCGCTGAAAAACAGTGTTGTATACACTAAGAAAAAGGACAAAGTGAAAATGAAGAATTACCATTCAGTAAAGGAAACCAAATCTGACATTATATAATATCTCAATGGTGGGGAAAACCACTTGGAGTCAATCACTTGGTGTTTGCCAGTCACCTTCCAGCAGCCGAGTCCTTGAGTTCAGAAACTTGAACGGTCGAGTTCAGGTGCTCTCCAAGCTCCTCTATCAGCGGCCGGGACCCTCCAAGAGCCGGGGAGGAGGCAGGCGGCTTTCCAGGACTGCCATCTGAGGTCTCGGTGGCTGAGTTTCTGCACACCCCACCGTCGACAATAAGCAGGGCGCTGCCTCCCTCCAGGGAGGGGCCTCGCAAGGGATCTGCTGTCTCAGATTCACTCCCTGTGAGCTCCCCTTGTTCTGAGTCTGAGCCCTCAGTCTCAGAGGACGTGGTGCTGTCTGCTTCCTCGGAATCACTTGCCTCGGAACTGGAGGAAGGGGTCTGCCGCCTGGAAACGGAACGGGCTGCTTCTACTGCCGTTTCCTCCTCCTGCACAAGAAGAGCTGCGGCTTCCAGCGCTTCCAGGTCTAGTCCCAGCTGGGCCTTTGTCAGCGACACTTCCTTTAAGGCTTCTGCAAGAGCTGCCAACTTTTTGGACCTTGAAAGCCATTTGAAGAAGAAATATTAGGACTATTCATTAATTGGCCCAGGAACAACAAAATAAAGTTGGAGCCATACTTCATGTGACACACCAAGATAAATCCCAAAACAGATCAAAGAGATAAATGTAAAAAAAAAAAAAAAATGAAGCAAATAAAGTATTACAAGGAAATGGAGGAGATCCCCTTTATGCCTCTAGAATGAGGAAACCCTTTCTAATTATGACTTAAAATCCAGAAGCCACAGGGCACCGGGGTGGCTCAGTTGGTTAAGCGCCTGCCTTTGGCTCAGGTCATGATCCCAGAGTTCTGGGATCGAGCCCCGCATCGGGCTCCCTGCTCAGGGGGAGCCTGCTTCTCCCTCTCCTTCTGCCACTCCCTCTGCTTATGCTGTCTTTCTCTGTCAAATAAATAAATAAAATTAAAAAAAAAAAATCCAGAAGCCAAAAAAGAAAAGATTGACAAATACAATTAAAAAAAAACTTATTTAAGACAACAACAAAAACCAACAAAACAAATCATAAAGTCAAAAGACTAAAACAAAATTGAGAAAAATACTGGCAACTCAACTCATGTCAAAGAGCAAGGCCTAATCTCCCCAACAGAGTTCTTAAAAATGGATATAACAATTCATCAGAAAAATGGACAAAAGACATAAGGAGACAATTCCCACAAAAGGAAATATAAATTCCTCTTAAACATATGAAAAGATGTTCAACTCCAGTCAAATAAGAGAAGTACAAACTAAAGTCACTCTGAGATACATTTTTCATTTATCACAGTGGCAAAAATCCAAACATTAGATAACACGACTAGCAAGGCTGTGGGGGAAACGGCACCTCCCTACACTGCTGGTAAGAAATTAAACAGGTCTGACCCCCTGTGAAGGAGAAGCTGGCAATAACTTACAAAATTGAAAATGTACATCCCCTTGACCCAGCAATACCACATCTGGAAATTAAACACATATGCTACAGGACAGAGGCCCAAGGTTATTAGTCCATCATTGTTTTTAATACTCCAAAATGGGAAACAACCAAATGCCCCTGATTATGGGACTGGTTAAGTTACGGACACTCCATGCAAAGGAAGGGTCCATGGCTGCATAAGAACGAGTCTGTTCATGGGTTAACCCAGATAAACCGTTTCACAGCAACAACAAAAGGCGTGCCATATGTATATGCTACCTTTTATGTTAAAAAATGAGAAAGAAATATAAACACATCTATTTGCTTGTATACTTATCAATAAACCTGGAAAGCTACAGAAAATACTAGCTTACATGGGGGGGAAGAGTGGGGACTAGAAAGGTGGAGGAGGATGATGGTGAGAGGGAGGCTTTTCACTACAAATTATTTTTAAGCCTCTGTGAATGTTAATACCTATTCAAAAATTTTAAATATACAAAAAAAGAAAATGCAGTACTATAGAGAGCAGCATGAAGTGCTTTTTATTTTTATCAGAACACCATTTCATGTTATGTCAGAGGGTATTTTTCTAAATTTGTAATGTTACATTATACTAAACTTTTTAATTAACTTGGATGAATGAGTTGTTTTCCTTTTGTTATGAAAGAGGTAACGAAAAGTATACCATAGGTGTCCAAAAACCCTGTCTTTACTCTCCCCAAGAGGAAAATCGGAAGTGACAATGGAAATGGGTGGCAGTGAGTGGTCAGCATGCTGACATGGCTTCTATGTGTCTCTAAGTTCAAAGGTGAAATGAGCATACAGAACATTTAGTGGCTTTGAGGCACACTGGAGGAGGGTGAGTTCACAAGATAAGGTCACTTCTGAAAGAGTAGTCCATCCCATAGTATTGAGAAAGTGAAGCCTCGTTACATTGCAGCTGAAATAACTGGTGGGGCAATGGGAACGAGTGAACAAAGGTGGTATTTTTCACCTAAGTGCCTAGATGAGCCCTTTGGTCTCAGAATATGTGGCGTAATAATGACTTTGTGCAGGGAAGCTCCATTCCCCCGGGTTCTAGGACAGGTGCAAGGTGCAGCGAGTGGGGGGAACGGCCACGGGCAACAGCCCTCACTGAGGGCAACTTTCTCATGTGCAAGGAAACCCCTGAGTGTCAGTGCTAGAATTCCCAGAGCTTAGAAAAAGGAAGGTGGATAGGGTAAAGAGAAAAACTAGGATAAGATCACCTTAAGTCAACTTATGATTCACCAAAGGGTTATAAACTCTGGATGCTCTCACCAGCTTGAGACACCTTGAGGAGCACAGTTATGGAGTAAGATGGTTACATCCATGTCCAAGGCGGGTGTCAATGGTGTCCACCCACCATATATTGTGAAACCTTGATGACCACTGGTAAAGAATCTGGTCTGAGTTAGTAGACAGTCTGAAACATCTCTGCCCTAAGGCCATGTCAGCCCAGGAGCTAGTTCACTGCCATCTTTTTCACTGAAGCAGGTCCTCTCGGGGTAGTAACCTGCAGCTTTAAGAGATAAAAAGCAAGGAATCTGGGAAATAAGACCATGCCTCTTACTAAATCATAATATTGGAAACAAAATTTTAAAATAAAAGCTCTTACTTCAGTGACCCTTACATCTCATTCTTATTAGCCACGACAAATACTTCTGACAATATATGAAAGATGATGTTCCACAAACAGTTGCTCCAAATGACAACCTCGTGGGTCAGTTTCATCTCTGTCCACATTACAGATGACACAACAGAAGCCTGGAGGGGTAAGAGAGCTGATGAAATCTACCCAGCTAACAAGGCACAGTCAAGACCGGAAACCCACGCCTTAGAGCTCTAGTGTGCTCACTCCTCCACCACAGAGCCTCCCACAAATATCCAGGCTCTGAAAAGTCTCCCATCCTAAGACCACATTCTTCACTTCTCCCCATTTGGAGCTCTATTCAACATCTTCCAAATGAGCAAGTTCTGACAGGCCCAGGCACAGAAGTCTGCAAACACTGATGGCTTTAGCTTAGCAAGCTTCAATGAAGTGCACATCTGAGCCTGAACAACAGAGGCTTAGAGCTGGAAGAAAACATCTGGATTATTTTTGTGGATACAGTGAAGAGAGTAGATGTGTCAACTCTCAAGCTGAAACTACCTGGATCTTTGTTATTGTCTACTATACTGTATCTGTCGTGTAGAACAGAATAAATCTGGATTTCAAAGCCTCTCACCTGTAATCCTGGCTCTTTTCAGACCCGGCATATCCCACATATGTGAGACTAAAAAGGATCTACTCTGACAGGCAGGGAAGTAGCCCAGATGAGCCATGTGACCCTAACAGGACTTGTGCCTGTTACCAGGTAATGTGAATTTTCATCCTTCATTTGTTTCTCACTTTAACTGCTGTATTACGTTTAAAGTGACCCATTTATATAAAATATGTAAAAAAAAAAAATCGAGGCACCTCGGTGGCACAGTCAGTTAAGCGTCCCACTTTTGTTTTCAACTCAGGTCATGATCTCAGTGTCATGAAATGGAGCCCCATGTTGGGCTCCACGCTCAGCATGGAGTCTGCTCGAGATACTCTCTCTCCCTCTGCCCCTCCCACTCATGCTCTTTCTCTTTCTGAAATAAATACATCTTTTTTAAAAAAATTATGTAAAAAAAGAATTCTATGTTCATTTATGATTCTTCACCATGCTGATTCATCTCCATTTCTTATTAATCCCACTTTTACTACTACATCAAGCTGGCTAGTTTCCTAAATTATTAAAGTTGTGATAGAAACCTTAAGTTTATGGAAGAAGCATTCTGAATTCTCCACTTAAAGAATGCTAGAATAAAAAGGAATTAAAAATTTCAAAACATCATTGATGTAGAATGTGACCTAATGGTCCAAGGAATGAAAGTTGGGTTTCTTTCTATTCAATTATTTCATGCAGATTACTTAGCAATCATTGTTTGCAAAAAAAAAAAAAAACTATTCATTTGGAGAAAAAAAATTAAGCCATGAAAGAGGAGCTTTTTGTTCTTTCAACCACTGGTACAATTAGAGTTGGTTCTAAGTCTGCCACTCCTTGTAAATTCTAGAACCTAACTCTGCAATGGCCCTTTCCATTTCAGAAAGCACCTCATTTAATGTAGTTAGTGGTTTTTCACTGTCACACTCAAAACAGACCAGCTAGTTCATGTCAAAGCTCCGTCGAGTGACATTATTAGTTAACCAGAATGCTTACAAAAACCAGGTACATGCAGATATAAAGTAATGAATACACTGAGTTACTAGTTGTACTTATGGTATATATTTTATATCTAAGTCAAGAGCACCTACTTGTTAAGAATGTATTCAATCAGGAGTGAAGAGATTCATCCTTTAAAAAGAGACATGACAAGTGGATCACAGTAATGTCGTATTTTAAAAAGATACTCAAAACAGGTTTTCCTTAGAAAGTTTTTGGAAATGAAATCCTACCACGTAACTTTTAAAAAAGCTTTTGTTCTGTTTGTATATGTGAAATAATAACCTATTTGGAGGATTTTTTAAAAATTAAAAACGGCTCTCTGACAAGTTCCAGTAAATACAACTACCAGGAAAGAGTAACAGTAACAGCTGGGAATATGTGCCTTTATCATAGCTAAGCTAACAGAAAATTTCCTCCATTATTTTATATTTTGGTGATTGAGTTAAAGGGTGAGGGACTGCATGGCCTATGAAAGAGCCAAAACCAAGTGCAAAAGGAGCCCTAAAATGTAGGAAAACCTGGGTATAAATAGAAAGCATACATCCTGTTTCTTGTCGTAGAGTTTTGTCTCCAACTATCAATCAACTTTTCACCACTTCCTGCAATAGCAGATCTACTATAAATCTCGTAGTAACTGACTAGGTTTCATTTCCTCTGCCAAAACCCACTAACCTGCCAGGCATGACACACTGACACTAGAGCCAGCGACTGATAATGTAAGACAGGGCTCCAGTCAGGCAATTCCACAAACATTTCACACCGGATGATGGAATACACTGACTTGGCCTTTTAATTTCAAAGGACACACACATACACACACCCCCAGTTCCGTCT